ACTGTGAGCAGTCATCTGCCTGCCAAGCGATTTATTTCATTTAAATCTTCAAATTTTCATGAGAATATCCATTCATTCAGCACGAGGCATATATAATTGAAATTAAAACATACGAACAATTTTTTGCGAAAATTGATAAAAATTATTACATTTATTAAAAAATTATCATTAAATAAAATATAGTAAAAATTATAAATAATATGTAAACACTTTAATTTGATATAAAATATGCAAAAATAGAATGTTTTGGTGATATACAAATTAGAAAATTAATGCAATATTAATTATTATCGATGATGAAAATAATAATGTAATATCCGATTATAATCCACAAAAAAAAATTAATTACTTTCATTGTTACTACTTTATTGATCAGTGAGCATCAATATCAAGAGTATATAACTGCGTCTATCATCTACCTTATTTGCATGGGTAAAGGGAATTTTGTGACTTTGGTGGATGCCTGTGGCATAATCGGCTAGAAATATCGAAATTGCCAGCAATTTCATTCAAAATTTCAGGAGCAGTGATATTCATCTCATCAATCGAAAATCATTGGACAAAATTTACTTTTAAGAAACGTTATTTACTGTAACCATTGAAATTGACGCTTGGTGTTGCCCATGATTTGTTTTGCTAGCACAGACAATCGTTTAACTTTTAAAAAGGATCATTATTTCCTTGAAAACGTTCTGCAAAAACAAATACCAACGTTAGCCGTGGTCCGACAGAGTGCCCGTAAAGGAGAAAGAAGAGAATAGAATGCATCAGTGAAATGTTGCTCAATTCGGAGCATAGGTGCATGCTGAGGCAAGAGTGAACTTGTCGAAAAAATGCGAGTGATGCTGACGAATCATCTGTACTTCTTTGGCCAAGGGGCTCCCTGGTATATTTTTCTGATCGAAAAAGCAAGTGGAGATAGTCTTCCGGGAATGGATAATCTTAGAAAAGAATAAAAAGATGTATTAAGTGTATTAGCTGTTTTTGGACAGCGATGATTTTTTTTCACTGTTTCTTTATGAAAGATTTTCTTTGCTTTGTTTTCATGAATCAAAAAACTACAAACTACAAACATATGTTTCCTATTTACTATAACCATTGAAATTGACACTTGATGAGCCCATGATTTACTGTTTTTGCTAGCACAGGCAATCATTCAACTTTTAAAAATAATCATTATTTTCGTGAAGACCCTCTGCAAAAACAAATACCTACGCGGCTCGTGATCCAACAAGTGGAGAGGATAAAATTAAAAAAGAATAATATTCATGCAAAAATCCAAATTGTACGAACAGCAAGCTGCATGCATAAGCAAGCGGTTTCCGAGAAAGGAGCGTCAATTATGAATCAACGCTGTTACAAATGACTTCGTAACAGAAAAATACTACTTTAAATTTAACAAAATGAACCATAAATGAAAAATTCCTTGCGAAGAAACAGTGGATTTTATAAATTTTTTTTCTTAAAATCAGTTTTTTTCAATGAAAATTATATGAACAATGAGATTTTGCAAGGGTTGGTGGTGAACTTTTTTTTCACTGTTCAATTTTTTCTTTATAAAAAGAATTTCTTTGCTTTGTTTTCATATCTTTTTAATGGATTATTGCCACCGAAATATTTTTTCTTGCGGTTCAGAGATGACCAAAAACTATTTCCTACTGTGATTCATTCCTATTTTTTCATCAATTACTGCAAACATGAAAACTTCATTCATATTTTCTTGCCTTCCTTGTTTTGATAAAAATTTATAAGAGCTATTGATAACAATGCAACAAAGTTCTAGTTGTTTCGCCTTTTGTTCCAGGTTTTATTTATGTTTAATTCACGCTTAGTTGCCATTTTTGATTTGACAAAGTTTGACAATTTACTGGCCAATATTAGTTACAAATGATTCATAATTTTTCGATAATCCATGAGGAGATAAATTCAAGAAATGATTACTCCATGACCACGATTCGACTGTTAATGATTTTGAAATATTGAATTACTTCATTTTGCTCGGTGTAAATTAAATATTGCTGATTGCCTTAGCAAATATTGCTGAAAATACCATTGAATGACCACCTTCGTTTTCCAATGAATTTTTTGACGATCGCTTCTCAAAAAAATTTTTCGACTTTCGCTTTGCTGATAAAATAAATCGCTTGGCAGGCAGATGACTGCTTTTAGTAAAGAGAAAGCAGATTTATAAGAATATGTTTTATCCACCATTAAGACTCATAACAACTTTCAATCATTCAGGGGACTACAAAATACATTATATATGCACCAAGCCTTCGAATATGAAAACTGACATAGTTTAATTTCACTGTTATTTAGCTTTGTTGTTCTCATTTTAGAGTACCGTTCTATCATTATTTTTTTTTAGAATAAGCATATATTTCAAAAATCTGGGTGATGCTGGTGCCTATCAGTATTTCTATCACTAAATTACATCCTGGCAGAAATGATAAGCCAGCTGAACCCTCTACGACCATCACTGTCTGAATAAACGTTTAGGACTCTAAAATATTCAATTGATCCTCGGTGGCAATAACCTTTGCACCAACCTTTGTGAATTTGAAAAATTTGAATAAAAATTGCACAAACTGCTCTATTTTGATGTGATATAGTCAAAATTTAAAAAATCGAAAACTGTTTGTTGAAATAAAATTTACAAAAAATATTCGAATAATCCGATTATAATGATAAAATTTTTCTAGCGTTGAAAAAAAGCGATATGTTTATCAGTATTATTTCTCTGATTTTGTTCAATGGGTTTCATATTTGTAACTGCAGCTATTCTTTATCTTGTATACATGGGTAAGGCCAATTTTGCGAATCTTATGACTATATGAGTGTAAACTTACTAAAATTGGCAAAAAACCAAAGATTCTAGTAAATTTCTTTCATAATTTCAGGAACAGTAATAATATTGATCTCAACAGAGGAAAGTTAGTCAACATTTATTTTCTTAAAAATCAAATTATCATATGTATCATTTATTTGTTGCTGATAAGCACTGAAATTAATCTTTCATGCATAATCCATGCTTTGTCATTTCCTTCAGAACAAAAAATTGTGTTAACTTTCAGAAAAAATTACAATTATCAATATATCATTCTAGACAATAAACTGACATCATTAATAAAGGATTGATTTTAATAGCTCCTTCTTCTAAAGGTTCATTACCCGTTCCAAATTGCAATAGCAGCAGCAATGAGGATACTGGAGAGCGCGGGGTACGGTTCGCTCAGGAACGCAAACGTCAATTATCCATGAATGCTGATATTAGTGAAGATAGTTTAATGGTTATTTTTATTAGATTTCGATAAAGCAATAAATAGAATAGTTTTTCGAAACAATTGTGCTAAAGAGTCAATAGAATCAGTAGAATTTTTGAAAAACAGGCTTATTCCTGCTTAATCCTCCTTAATGGAACTCTGCTAGTGAGACTCCGAAATAAAAGCAAAAAAGCATTGATCTACTGCAATTCAATAAGAGAATTTAAAGCGAGGTAACAGTTCCACAATTTATATTCTTCATATTTCGTTGATCGCAATAGGACTGTTATAAGTTTTAAGAGAATATTTCGGATGTTCCTGAAATGAGAAAACATAGAAATAGAGAATTATTTTAAAAAATATGAAATTATCAAATTTAGAAATGGAACTGTGAGCTGGAAAAAACAGCTGCTCTATTTATCAAAAAATGTCGCATCGCAAAAATTCCGAGAACCAGTAGAACACTCGTTGGAAACGTTTATTATCATTTATTTAAGGAATCAAGTAAAATTATAGCATTTGAAATACAGTATATGAACAGGAAAATGTGTTTTATTGAGATTCTAGGCTACCCAATATTAGTTTGAAATATTGGAAAGAGATATTTATCTGTAGGAATTCCAGCAACGACTGCAAATTCACAAAATTCTTCGAACATGGTTCTTCCGATATTCGGCAAAATATTTTATCCAGCGTTATATGCAACTATATACCATGAAGAGATTGAACTAAGTAATGTAGGTGATTGATTTAAATTAATTTCATTTTCATAAAAGTGAAAAATTATAATAATGGGAAAGAAATCAAAATGTTTTAGGAGGAATGGCAATATGCCGCTGAAGTTGGTTGTTCACAAATTTTTTGTCGAATAGCCGATGGAGACAATAAAGGAATGCTTGTGAAACTCGCTGCTTGTTTTTATAAACTTCGGTTAGTCTTTTCATTAAGTCTCGTTAGAAGTGAGCAGAATTAAGTGGAGTTGAAGAGAAAATCGTCAGGAAAATTTATAAATGTATATATCGAATATTTAGCAATTTTATATAACTGCTATGCAATTTCTATCTACTAAAATATGTATATTTCATCTTATAACCATCGTTCGCCTTGACATAAATTTAGGTCGCCATTAGTTGATTTCGCTGGTGAAAAATCGACCATTTCATCGACAACAACGACGGCACCAACAATCTTTGCGTCAACAGAATTGACAATAACGCCTTTTGCATTATCATTTACTGGTGAA